TTCAGTAATATGACATTATAAAAAGGAAAAACTATAGGGACAGAAAGTAGACCATGGTTGTGAAGTACAGGGTATGGTGGGAGGAGCTGACTACAAAGGGGTAGCACAGGGAATTTTCGGGACAGAGAAATGTTCTATAATCTTGATTGTGCTGATAATTATATGACTATTTGCACTTGTCAACGTTGATAGAACTGTTTACTAAAAAGAGTGAATTTATTGTATACAAATCAAAACTTACAGAACTATATAAAAAGAGGTGAGTTTTGCTGCAGGTAAATTATATACTCCTTACTAAAATAAATGGAAAATAAGAGAATTTATTTTATTTTATTTTTAGAGATGGAGTTTCACTCTTATTGCCCAGTCTGGAGTGCGATGGTGTGATCTCAGCTCACTGCAACCTCTGTCTCCTGGATTCAAGCGACTCTCCTGTCTCAGCCTCCCTAGTAGCTGGGATTACAGGCGTGTGCCACCACGCCTGGCTAATTTTTGTATTTTTAGTAAAGAAAGGTTTCACCATGTTGGTCAGGCTGATCTCGAACTCCTGACCTCAGGTGATCCACCTGCCTCATTCTCTCAAAATGCTGGGATTACAGGTATGAGCCTCCACTCCCAGCATAAGTAAATTTTGAAAAGTCAAAAATATTAGGGCCTTAAAACATAAATATATTAATACATTTTATATAATATTTGATTTTTATTAAGACTGATTCCAACTCACATTCTGGTAACAAATGTCTCAAACTTTAATGCGTATATGAATTTCCAAATAGTTTAAAATGCAGATTCTGATTCAGGAGGGATGAGGCCAGAGAGTTTGTATTTCTCACGGGTTTCCAGATGATGTCCCTGGTGCTGGTCAGGGACCACACTCTAAGTAGTAAGGCACAGGACACCAGTGGTCTCACTTGTTGTATAAAGCTGAGGCCAAGAGGATAATTCATTTGGACAGAGCAGGCCCTTCATGTACATTGCCTTGGCCTCGGTGAGTTAAAGGACCAGTCTTAGTCACAGAGTGCCCCCTTGCCCTCCTCAGAGCTGAAAGCTGTCCAGCTGTCATTCCATAGGGTCTCCTTTTTGGCCTCTAGTGGGAACATGGAGTCAGGCCTGGAATTTAATCTGGCTTGAGGCAGTTAAAATAAATAAATAAATAAAAATTTAAAAATTTAAAAAAAAAGCTTTTTTGAACAGAAACCCTTCCCTGAGAGCAGAAGTTTCAGGAGGACCACGGAGCCACAAAGGCCCACTTATCCACCCATTCACCCATCCATCCACCTACCTGTCCATCAATTCATCTATCCATTCATCATTTATTTATCCATATTATGAATAGCAACTTCTCTTCACATGTACATGGAAATTCCTCAGTCAGAAAAGAAGTAAACACTGACTTCTTGTCATTCTGCCAACACTCCAATGACTGAGCAGTACCACCTAATAACTTCTGAGAGCTGGTGTTGTCTGTGCACCAGCAGGGGAGTTTCATTTATGGAGTAGTCTCCCTGCAAGAGTGAGAAGTGGCTGTGGCCAGAAGTCCAAGTTGGAGAATTGCAAATGGTTGGAATTTGTATTAAACAACTTCATGGCATATTCTCAGAGAACTGGCACTAGCACTTTTTGCATGCTAAAAAGATACCACATGAATGTTTTAACAAACAGCTGCTTCACTTACCAATGCCCTCAGGTATAAAACATCACTAATACACGTCAACACCTTCAGATACTTGGCTTGGGGATTTTCAAAGTGAAGCAACCACACACATATTGAGAGTCTAAGTTGTTAACATTTATTGAGCACTTACTATGTGCCATAAGCTATTCTTAGTGCATTTCACACATTATCTCAACTCATCCTAACAACAACTCTACGAGGCAAAAATCATTATTAGTCCCACTTCACAGATGAGAAATCTGAGGCCCAAAGAGTTTGGTTAACTTGTCCAAGGATACATGTTAGTCGGTGGCAAAGAGGGATATAAATCCCAGCAGCCTGCCCCTTGCATCTTCCCTCCTGACCACTGACCCACCATAGGGTCTACTCTATGTCTGACATTGTATATATTAATACTTACAAAGCCCCAGGGCCCCAGTTTAGAGAACTTGGAGAAGGATGTCAGTATGATCACCAGGTGTTTTGCCACCCAACTTCTTCATAGAGGAGATGACAAAGTCATTTGCCTGATATCCTTAAACTGCCACACACTAAGTAAGCCTTCAGGCATTACTTACTGAGCTGGAAGGTTCCTTCTCACCTAGATCTCGCCTTTGCTTATGTAACAATGGGGAAGGCTGAGGAGGGGGCAGGTGTGGTAGGGAAATTTAGGAATTCAGTTTTGGAAATCCTGAGCTTGAAATGCCTAATGGACATCCAAGGGAAAATGTCAAAGAGCAGATTAAAATTCACATATTCACTGAAATATTTATAGATATAATATATGATGAATAGGACTTCCTTAAAAGTAACATGTGAGAACAGGTAGAAGTATAGAAAAACAAGACTGGTCATGGGTGATAACTATTGAACTGGTTGGGTTGATTAGTCTGTAGAAAAATTATACTACTCTGACTACTTTTATATGTGGCTGAAACTTCCTATAAATGTTTAAAAGTTCAGGACACACAATATTTCTTATGTAGGCTACCACCAAAAGTGTATAACCTGAAGCTCATGATGAGGAAACAACAGACAAACCCACAGTAAGAGATATCTTACAAAACAACTGGCCTGAACTCTTCAAAAATGTCAGTGTCATGAAAGACGAAGAATGACTGAGGAACCATTCTAGAGTAAATACACCAAAGAGACATAGCAACTGAGTGTAATGTGTGATCCTGGCTTGTATCCCGAATCAGAAAAACAATTGCTATAATGGGTACTATTGGGATAATCAGTGAAATCTGAATATGGATTTGTATGTTAAATAATAGTATGTACTGATATGAAATTTCCTAAATTCAATCATCAGACTGTGGTTATATAAGAAAATGTTCTTGTTTTTAGAAGCTACATATTTAAATATTTAGGGATGAAGAATTACGATGCATGGAATCTATTCTCAAATGGATCAGAAATAATAATAATTTATAAGTGTATATGTGTATATACTATATAGATAGATATAAAGAAAAATTACAAAAATGTGGCAAAATGTTAACAACTGGTAAATCTAGATGAAGTCTATACTGGTAAATACAGAAGTCAACATCTTGCTCAGTCACGGCCCCTTCCCAGAGTGGCCCACATGCCATGTCTGATTGATGGGGTTCCAAAGGCCCTCTTGTCCCAACTCAGGACAGTCCTGCAGGGCCATCTAGCCCCAGAATTCCCTGTGGGGTAGGCAGAGGACTCTAATGACCTATGTCACAGCTTGACTTCTCCCTAACTAGTCTGCTTCCTTCCTCCTCCTTTCTACAGGTGTTGGTCTCCAGAAGATTCCCTCACAAACCTCCTCCTACACATTAATTTCCATCTCTGAGTATGCTTCCTGGGTATCCAGCTGTGGCAATTAACATGACCATTTTACAGATGAAGAAACTGAATCTTAGAAAATCACTTGTGAAAGGTTAGACAGCCATTTATTAGTGAAGCCAAGACTCAGACACCAAATCTGCTGACCTCCAGTTTCTCCTCCTTTTTCTTTACCTCTCCAAATTATATCACTCTGTGAAGGCTAAGTCCCTGCTTCTCCCAGAGGCCTTCCAACTTCCCCTTTCTGACCTTAGAGCTCTCATCATCTATTTGGCTCATGGCCACGCTCCCATTTGGGGACTGTTATTAACTCTCCCTTCATATTACATAACCATTATGTTGTCACTTAACGTTCTGCATTTTAAGTTTTGTGTTGTCTCTACATTATAATCTCTATGGAGACAAATGTCATTAACTGTTCTTCTTGGCATCCCAATAGTTGAGATCCATATGCTAAGCATGTAGTATATCACTGTGCAGAGAAAATCACTGTGCAGAGAAAGAACAGCAAGATTTCCTCTCTCTGGCTGGCTTCTAAGTCTTTGAAACTGAGAAAACACAACATGCTCAAAAGATACACAGCTTTGCAGCTTTGATTTCCTTTTTCTCTTTTCTGGAATGGCATAAGGAGTCACAATATAAAATATAAAAGGATGGCAGGTTATTGCACTAAAGGAGCAATACCATCCACGGGGGAATAACTCAGACTGCATTAGCCCACATTAAAAAGGTGAGCCAGAAAGTACTTGGTCAATTACAGTCAAGCAATAAGGAGAAAAACAACACACTAGGAATAAAATCATTAGAATGCATCTTGGCCAATTAACTTGGCAAAATATTTTCATTTTAATTATTTAAAACATTTCATAATATGCTCGGAAATGGGGTATAGCATACTTTGCAAAAGTAATGAAGTCTTAGATCAAAAATCTGACACAACATTGTTAACTTTTATGGGTAAAATAAGCAAACCACTTTTCTTTTCTTTAAAGACTATCAACTGGGAAATTAGCAACACCTTCTACATTATCTCCTCCAAGCAAGGAGAGGTGGAGGTAGCTTCCCTCTACAGAGGGAAAAATTAATCCAAACTCCTTCACTTCCAGTTTCTGGGAATCACTTCTTGCCATGGTAATTATGTTATTATATGACCACTCTGGTACAGGTAGGGTTGGAAAACAGTAAGTATATAAACATATTAACAGCTTTAGGCTTGGAAATAATTTTCAGCATTTTTTTTCCTTTGCTTGCAAACATTAGTATGGATGAGAATGTGCTGTGCTGCAAGAATACTATAAGTGCAAATCAACTGAAAAATAATTCTTGCCAAACTTCCCTAATTATTCAACCAGCACCAATACAGAAAGTGAATTTTAGAGAGAAGTTTCTAAGTTGGAGCATCTTAGTCCCAGGTATTTTGTTACAGCAGCACAAATGGACTAAGACAGTATCACATGACTGGGTCACACACTTGGTCAATATGCTTTAACACTGCACCTTCCTAGGGGGCAGGCAACACGCTACTTACTCCCTCATGCGTTTCATCTTGGTCCTGGCCATCGCACTGTTGAAAACTGTTGGTCCTGGGGACATGTCTGCAGCCATGCTGGGGATGGTCTTTGTGTCTGAAAATCAATGCACAGCCCTTATTGACTTCATCAGCAATCTTGCAACTTCGAGGCAGCGTTCAAGGGCAATCAGAAAACAGAAGCTAATCCACCTTTGCCACATAGTAATGCTACATTAATTAGAGATGAATTCAATTATAAAATGCACATTAAGAAGATTTATTCCAAATGACAAGATTATTTACAGTTTTAATATGCACAAAGCATTCCAGGACAAAGCCTCTCTCACAAAGGATTGTTTAAACAAAATGCCATTATTTCAAAGATGAGCTTTTTATCCTAGAAAACTCAGGGGGAAATGTATCTATAGAAAAGCAACTGTTCTCAAGGACCCTCTGGCCATTCTCTTTCAGCAGGTGTGGATGTTTGACTAAATGACTAGGAATTTTTCTAATAAGCTTAGTTTTCCTTTCATCTTAATCTTATACCTGAGCATTAGCTTTTTTGCAGTGGAAAGCAAAATGCTTAACAGAGGTCATATCTGCAGCTTTAAACTACAGCAGAATGGAGTAGAAGGCCAAACTTGTGTTCAGAAGGTAGAGTTGGTAATGAAAGTTGAGGTGTAATGAAATCTGCTGAGAGAGCTACAGTTTTTAATGAAACATCCTGAAGGCTCTTATAAAACAAGTTGAAACTGAGGGAAAGAAACATTCCATCATCTGAAACAACACTACTTTCCATTAAAAAGCTAAAACTGGGCTGGGCGCAGTGGCTCACAACTGTAATTCTGGCACTTTGGGAGGCCGAGGTGGGCGGATCACCTGAGGTCAGGAATTTGGGATCAGCTTGGCCAACATGGTGAAACCTCGTCTCTACTAAAAATATAAAAATTAGCTGGGTGTGATGGCACGTACCTGTAATCCCAGCTACTCTGGAGGCTGAGACGGGAGAATCACTTCAACCTGGGAGGCGGAGGTTTCCGTGAGCCACTGTACTCCAGCCTAGGTGAAAGAGCTTCGTCTCAAAAAAAAAAAAAAAAAAAACGGCTGCTAAAACTGGCCCATTAGCAAGAGCTCAGGGCAATCCATAGAGCTGAATTTACAATTTGGCCTTGTGCTGCTCTTTCCTCCCCGAAACTGGGGGCAGAGTCCTCCCTGTGCACTTCCTTAGATCTCTTATAAGGTACTTTGCACCCCATCAGTAAAAAACTGTCCACTCTAATGATCATTTATAAATTATATCCATGCAGTTGCGATATCAGAGAGAAGAGATTCATGTTATGAAATTCCTGTTCTTTTCTCAACATATCTCACATAATATGTGCCTGCCTGACTTAGGGACCAAGTAAAGAAGCAAGGTGGAGTCTCCATCTTACATATTAGTAAAGCTTTTTCTTCTTTCTTTTTTTTTTTTTGAGACGGAGTTTCACTCTTGTTGCCCAGGCTGGAGTGCAATGGCGTGATCTCGGCTCACCGCAACCTCCACCTCCCGGGTTCAAGCAATTCTCCTGCCTCAGCCTCCTAAGTAGCTGGTCTTACAGGCATGTGCCACCATGCCTGATTAATTTTGTACTTTTAGTAGAGACAGGGTTTCTCCTGTTGGTCTCCTGTTGATCAGGCTGGTCTTGAACTCCCGACCTCAGGTGATCAGCCCATCTCGGCCTCCCAAACTGCTGGAATTACAGGTGTGAGCCACCACATTTGACCTTTTTTATTTTTTTTGAGATGGAGTTTCACTCTTGTTGCCCATGCTGGAGTGCAATAGTGAGATCTCAGCTCACTGCAACCTCTGCCTCCCAGGTTCAAGTGATTCTCCTGCCTCAGCCTCCCAAGTAGCTGGGATTACAGGCTCCCGCCACCATGCCTGGCTAATTTTTTAATTTTTAGTAGAAATGGGGTTTCGCCATGTTGGTCAGGCTGGTCTCGAACTCCTGACCTGAGGTGATCTGCCTGCCTCGGCCTCCCAAAGTGCTGGGATTACAGGCATGAGCCACCGCCCTATTTTTTAAATGTTAAAAGTTAAATGCAAATTCTAATATGTCTCACATACACCCTCTTTTTGCACTACCTGCTGGGGCATGCATCCCACTTTGAACTTCTTGCTCCTATAGGTATAATTGAGATGAATATTCTCCAGCTTAATTATGTGCCAATCTCTGATCTTTCCTTAGACTAGATCCCTAGTTAAGGAAATACTGAATTGACAGCAACAAATCTTATAAAGGGCATAATACAAATTAACAATGTGTTGCTCATAGTACATTCACCAATTAGGACTTCATGATAAAGACACAAGTGCCAGAGACTGACTGCTCCTATTTCTCTCACTCCTGGAGATTGCCCCTTCCACACCTGGAGAAGAAATTTGCCTCAGCCCTCATTGCAACTCGACAGCAGCTTTCTGTCAGCTCCAACCTTCCCACTAGCTCTGGCCAGGACAGACACTTTTCCCCAGGGAAGCCTGGGGAGTGGGCAAGAGGAAGGCATAGGGGTTTATTTCATATTCCTCTTGGTTGCTTTTTAAAACAATTTTTTCTAGAACCTAAATAGTTACTAAAACAAAACCAACCATACCATGCCAAGTAACTCACAAACAGGCTCAAAAATCAGTTCTGCCAATAATAAAAATAAGGCGCTCCTTTCCCGTCTTTTCCAGAGCTAGCAAGGTTTGAAGACTTATGCAAATAAAGGTCAAAGCAATTTCCAGGAGAGCTGCAATTTATTTTAAGCTGGCTACAGTTCCCCTCAATAAGGCACTCAGTGCTGCTAGGAAAGATGCTAAGCCTGAAGCCCAAGGTAGAAAACAGGGCAAGTGTCATTTCAAGCAACAGGGTTGGCAAAGCTTGGTGCTCAGAGCAATTCCTTTTTCAGTGTTTCTTACCGGCCAACTTTCTTTCCCACTGCATCCCATCTTCCAACATGAATAGCAGTTGCTTTATGTCAAAGAAAGGGACAATTCATTTAACAATCATAATAAAAATAATTGGGGCTAGAATTATAGATGTCATCCAATAGGTCACTGAATCCCAGAGTGTGTTCTAGACCACTGCTTCTCAAACTTTAACATCATACAAATCATCCAGGGATCTTGTTAAAATGCAGATTCTTCTTTAGTAGGTTTGGGTAGGACTTGGGATTCTGCATTTCCATAAGTTCCCCGGTGATACCAATGCTGCTGGTCCTGCAACCACACTTTGAGTAGTAAGGCTCTAGACAGGCCAGCTACATAATTTGTGGGGCCCAGTGCTAAATGACAATGCAGAAATCCTTGTTCAAGAAACAAGAGAAAAGCTGCTTTTGGGGGGGATCTGTATTTGTCTGTGGACCTGTCATTGTGCTTTTTGTTGGGTATTTAATGTCATTCTCCCTCGGGAACTAGGATAGATACTCTGCAGAGGAGTATAGACACTTATAGGGACCTGGCAGTCTTACCTCACCCCAAGTCTTCCTCAGTATTACCTAGGACCACACTGGGAATGGAAGGTTGCAGTAGTTATGGGGTGGGGATTAGGAGTGGGTGGCAGAGGAACCTTCCCAGGTAGATGTCTTAAAGGCAAGACAGCATATGAGCAAGGCTTTAAGCCCTGAGCCTGTGTCCACTGTCTAACCAGCTTTCACTCATAAAATACAAATTCAAATATACAATTTTATGAAACCCCTTATGAGGGCTCCTTCCTGAACCTGGGGTCCTGTGTAACCACTGGTCTCACATCCATGAAGCCCTGGTTCTAGAGCACTGCTTTCTTAAAGCTCTGCTTTCTGAAAAAATAGCTGAATCCTTAATCCCCATGTTAATTTTTAAAAACTAATTTTGGGCAGAACGGGCAAGACAGCCAAATAGGAAGAACTCCAGTCAGCAGCTGCCAGTGAGATCAACCCAGAAGGTGTGTGATTTCTCCATTTCCAACTGAGGTACCCGGCTCATCTCACTGGGACTGGTTAGAGAGTGGGTGCAGCCCACAGAGGGTGAGCCAAAGCAGGGTGGGGCATCATCTCATAGGGGAGGCGCAAGGGGTCGAGGAACTCCCTCCCCTAGCCAAGGGAAGCCATGAGGGACTGTGCTATGATGAACGGTGCACTCTGGCCCAGATACTATGGTTTTCCCACGTTCTTCACAACCTACAGACCAGGAGATTCCCTCGGGTGCCTATGCCACCAGGGCCCTGGGTTTCAAGCACAAAACTGGGTGGCCATTTGAGCAGACACTGAGCTAGCTATAGGAATTTTTTGCATACTCCACTGGCACCTGGAAGGCCAGCGACACAAAACCATTCACTCCCCTCGAAAGGGGGCTGAAGCCAGGGAGCCAAGTGGTCTAGCTCAGTGGATCCCACTCCTGCAGAGCCCAGCAAGCTAAGATCCACTGGCTTGAAATGTGTGCTGCCAGCACAGCAGTCTGAAGTCAACCTGGGATGCTCGAGCTTGGTGGGAGGAGGGGCATCTGCCATTACTGAGGTTTGAGTAGGTGGTTTTCCCCTCACAGTGTAAACAAAGCCGCTGGGAAGTTTGAACTGGGCAGAGCCCACTGCAGCTTGGTAAAGCCTCTGTAGCCAGACTGTCTCTCTAGATTCCTCCTCTCTGGGCAGGACATCACTGAAAAAAAGGCAACAGTCAGGGGCTTAAAGATAAAACCCCCATCTCCCTGGGACAGAGCACCTTGGGGAAGGGGAGGCTGTGGGCACAGCTTCAGCAGACTTAAATGTCCCTGCCTGCTGGCTCTGAAGAGAGCAGCGGATCTCCCAGCACAGTGTTCAAGCTCTGCTAAGGGACAGACTGCCTCCTTAAATGGGTCCCTGAACCCCATGCCTCCTGACTGGGAGACACCTCCAAGCAGGGGTCCACAGACAAATACAGGAGAGTTCAGGCTGGCATCTGGTGGGTGCCCTTCTGGGATGAAGCTTCCAGAGGAAGGAACAGGCAGCAATCGTTGCTGTTCTGCAGCCTCCACTGGTGGTACCCAGGCAAAAAGGATCTGGAGTGGACCTCCAGCAAACTCCAGCAGACCTGCAGCAGAGGGGCCTGACTGTTAGAAGGAAAACTAACAAACAGAAAGGAATA